CCAAGAGACCTTATTTCTCAGCTTCTATGATCCAAATACAACATGGATGAAAGCCTATTTTACTCCTGTGTTTAGATATTTCCCCAGTTCAACTAATATGAATGAAATAGTTCAATAATTAGCTGTTTAGTTTAGTTCAGCCAAACAGGAGTGCATCTCGCCCTTTATTTATGATATAGAAAAAACACATAACTCAAGTCTACAATTCAGTCTGAGATTCATGAATTATTGTCCATCCCATCCCATAAATAGAACAAGCAAGGTGTTATCTACTTACAATATTCACAAGAAGGTGTTTTTATTATTTATTTATTTACATTAATGCAGTGGGTGGTCAACGTTGCATGGAAATCTGTGGCCAGCTGGCTGACAAACTAAAGGCACCCTATCCGCAGATGCCCTTTTCAGTCACTAACTTTAAGTGGCTCCCTCTGTGCATGGTTAGATAAATGACTTATAGGCTTTTTACTTAGAATCCAAATGTTCATGATCTTTGTTACCTGAACAGCATGCAGATCTAAACCTCATCTGCTTACATTATGTGTTACCAGATCTTTAGAACGGTCGGGAGTGGTGTACGGCTCTGTGCCAGAACTGTGCTCATTAACACATGCCCTGATCCAATGCTAGACCATAGCCCGTCTGGGCCTGCATTGTTCTTTTTAAATTTAACAGCTGGAGGGAGTAAAGTTTGAGCAGCAATCACAATGGTCCATTTTGGTAAGTGTGAAATAATATCAATTTAAATAACTTTTTTCCCAAGTTCTTTAATAAAGGTGGTAAAATAATATATAGACTTTACATGCCTTCATTCAAGCTTTGTCTACTTAGTTTGTAGTGTATATTAAGGTGTAAGAACTCTAACCTGGCAGTCGCCAGATTGATATGTGTAGAACAGTTGAGGTGCATGTTATCAATCTGAGATGGCTGCGTTCAGTCTGTCCATGAAAAGGAGAGGCGTTTAGTACAATACTTCGAGCAGATTGGTTGACGTGCCAGATCCTACCCACTTTCCATAATACGCTTGCAGGCAATCCTAGCAGCAAGTTTTTGACTTTTCAAAAGTGCACCAGGAATGACAGGTGGGACGTGTTTACTGAAATGTAGACGATTGTTGGATGTTTACGGAGAAGTCATGTCATTGTGCAACAATTTTTCTAGAATTTGCAGGACAAACCTGCGCATAAATGCTGTTTTAAGCAACACAAATTAGATTTTTGAACATCGTCAACCCTCTAATGAAAAAAAATTTGCAAGGACAATCAACGAATGTGGGATGCAACTAGAAGATGAATCAAAATCATGGCGATGACATGTCCAGTCCCAAAAAACATTGCTGGCATCTCATCGGTCTGACTCACTACTTGTTACGAGACGGATGTATTAGCTGGAGTCTTTCTAGATGGATTTGTTGTGAGACTCAAAACTAAGATCTTGTGACAATCCAGCTTGAGGCACGAGGTTAAAAAGGCTCATGACTTAAGCTAACATATGGCCAACCTGTGAAACTTGGATCAACATCAAATGCAAAACCAAATTTTTTTCCTCATTCTCACATCTTGTGTTTTTTAAAGACCTGAGAAGTGACATGTTTTAAATGCCACAGACAGACAAGAATGTCTGTATGTACCCTAAACATTTTTTTTGTTTAGGGTACATACGTTAAAAAAAAATACAAATTAAAGCTGATTATTGATTAAAAAAAATGACAGTTTATAATTTTTTTTAAATTATTAAAAAATGTGGGAATGTAAAAATATGTATTACTCTTTTTCTCTGTATTAACATTGGTTCATTAACCTTTATTCAGACTCCGATAAAAAAAATAAACTTTAGAAGAAAAACATCAAGTATTTCACATAAATTGTTGATGTTACAATTAAAAAAGATCACTTTGTTGATATAAAAAAAGGTTTATGCAACTTTAAAGATACAAATCTTAAGAACGAAAAAAGCCCTTTGAAGCAGGATGATAAGCTATCAAATATTTGGAAGAAAGATTTAAACATTTAAATTCCTGTCAAACATTCACTTATTAGCTTGAAGAGCTGGTTGTTGTTTTTGAACATTTAACAATATTTGCTTCATTTTACCAGCTTGTGTTTAAAATCATTCTCTCTCAGCTCAGGATTCATGTAGCTTTTTCACATTAACAGGAATCTCGGAGCATCGGTGCTTATTCACCTCATTAGGAATAACTAGTGGCCATGTTTTCCAACAGAGTCCCACAGACTGACTAATGAAAAATGGTTTACAAGAAATATGCTTTCCCCCTGTTAACTTTTAAGCCTGAGTTCACAAGGGACTTATTTATGAAGAAATGCACGAAACCATCATTTTTCAGGGTACACTTGAAAATATCAGAGTAATCCTGCTTCCACTCTTGCCTTCTTTTGAAGACATTTTTTCCTTTAAGAGCAGCAGGGTCTTTATTTCCCCTCCAGGCTCTCTTAGTGCAGTTTTCTTAGAGCGTGAAAAGACATTCAGTTAAGGTGAAGTGGAGCTTTAGAAGTGACATTTTTATGAAAGTACGGACACATTAACCTTTTACCAGCCATGCCAAGAAGGAGCACTGGTTACTTGCTAGGGAACTGCTGAGAGCTCATTTGACCTCAGTCTGAATTGAAAGTGATAAATTGCACACATCCACAGGATACCTCCTGCTTGCTGTCAACAAGCTCTGACTAGAACGACCCCTGATGGGCTCTGCTGCTCTTCTTTAAATAGTGGGTGGATTTTTACCAGATCAGCTAAACACACACCTCTGTATGAAAACATATGCCCCATTTATTTACTAATCAGAAAGCCTGGTAGGTATCTAGGATTATTTTCAAGCATGATAGTTAGATTTTTTAGAGTTTGAAGAATAAAGTTGAAAGCAGGTGTCTAGGTCGAGTTTTTATGTGTTAAACTTGTTTTTATTGCATTTATCTCCTGCTTTAGAGCAGATTGAATTTTTTTATTTTGATCATTATTTGTATTTTTTATACTAATTTGCATCTATCAAACTACTAGCAGCTGTAAATATTTATTCATGAAATTTATTTCATTTGATACTTTATGGATTACATTTTCTGATGAAATTTAGCCGTTTCACTGAATCACAATTATTAGATTATGCTCACACTGACCCACTTTAGACTTATGCATTCATAATGAAAAGTCTGATCTTTAGAAAAAAGGCAGCAAAAAGTATTTTTAGAGCAGATTCCCGATCATCTTGGTCAAATCAAAGCAGTTTAAGTTTCAACTTTGTATCGCGGACCTTTATCTCTTTTTAGGTTCATTAAAATATTAGGCAAATAACGTGTAGTACAACTTTTTAGAGTGTTTTGAAGCAGTGTAAGCAGTGTTAATGTTCAGTGTTCTTTCTAGTTAAGGTAAAAATAATGTCATTACATTATTAAAATGACAGACATACACAAAATCCCTTGTAGAAAATCAAACAGACTATCAGCCCAACTTATAAATGTGACTGGCAGTGTTTGCACAATGTGCCCAGATTACATAGTAGCTGTTTGTAATCTAAATATTAGATACTGCATGTCAATATATCTACATAAAAAAAAAATAAACAAGCCTGACTGAGCACCTGAATTAAAATTTTGTTGAGCAACAGTTTGAGGCAATCTGTAAATTCAGGTGTTTTCTATTCTATTCAGGAAATGTTCAGTCAAACTTCTGCAACCATTGGCAGGTATGTTGGTTCACTATTCACTAGCAAGGCACTTTAATTTCTCTGGGACAATATGTTTTTTAGAATTCTTAAAAAAAAAAAAAACAATATCAGTATTTTATTTTATTAATTTATCATTTGTTAAAGCTTTATTTACTATTAGTTTTGTCAGTCACTTTTCGGTTATTTAAATTGCTAATCAATGATATTTTAATGGGAAGGCATTTAACTGTATCTGTGATAACTGTATCACCTGTTGTTGCCTTAACACTTTGACGATGTCAAATGACGATGTGTATTAGGTATAAGGTATTATTTTAAATCAGATCGGATGATTCCATGTTATTCCTCTTCTGCCCTGGTTGACTTAGTCAGTATGGCATCCATTCAGGGGAAAGATTCATATTCAGGATAAGGTGTGGAAGCTCCTGGCTAGATGTACAGCATTTTGACTGCTGGTACTGTTTCAAAAGTGAGTGAGACAAAAAACAGTTTTGTTAACTTTTAAATTCAGTCAGTTATTTTTTTTAAGGCAAGAAGACGAGAGACATTTATTTGTACAAGACAATTCAGTACAGAGACAATTCAAAGTGCTTTATATAGAAAATATAAAGCAGAAAAGGTCATTTTAAAAAACATGATAAAAGCAGTTAGCAGAGCAGATAAAGCAAACAAAACTTAAGCTCTAGATATCTTAGTTAATTTAATAGTCAAAGCCATTTTCTTTTTTTGTGTGTCCTATATGCCAATATAGCTCCAGGAATAGATGTCAATGGAGGATTTTACACGGTGCCATTGCCACAGACTTTTTTTAATTGATTATTAATTGTTGTGTTTTAAACGAGTGTCCTTTCTGCGGTCTGTCTGAAAATGTTTACAACATTTTTATGGAATGCACAAGAGTAAAGACAATTTTTAGACCTTTAATTTGTGTTTTTAGTCTTTTTGGGACTGTTTTTACAAACGCTCTTGTTATAGGAGTTTTCCAAAATAGAGGAAACAAGCCAAAGGCCAGACCTTTACATTTTTTAATCAGCGAAGCAAAGATGGCCATTTACCTCTCCCGAAGAGACAGTTTACAGAAGGGACCTCACCTTGATGCTGTAACTTTGTAGAAGTGCAACATTAAAGCCAGAATAAAGCTGGATTTTCACTTCCACAGAGCCACACAGAACATGGAGGATTTTATTCGGGGTTTCACACTTGCACACTTTCACTTGCTTTCACAAGCAGCCTATTATGGTTATTGCCATAAGGTTCTGCTTGGTAATTGTATATGAAACTTTCTAGAAAATTATTTAGGGAGTAAAATCATATACAACGGATGCCGAAAGGGAGGTGAGAATAAAAGAGGGGATTAGAACTAAGGGGAGAGAGAAAGAGACAGAGACAGGAAACAATCAATGAGAATAGAGAAAATAAAGCAGCAAAATTAGACAACAGATAAGATGTACAGTAACTCCTAGAAGTCTGCTTCCATGTATGAGATGAGAGGGACAGAAAACAGAGAACATAACAACAGCAGAAAGAAGACAACAGATGACCAAAGCAAACCTAAAAAAAGCTCCCAGAGCAGCGGGTGCCGCTAAGATTTCCATGCCTGTGGAAGGCTAAACCTATGGTGATAAAACTATTCAGGGTGGTATAGGCAGCAAGACAGACCCACAAGAAAAGCTGAGATGGATCCAGGCACGGTGGTTTTATCCCACCTGCCGTAAAGCCACCCGGCTCCCCTGCAAAGACAGGGCCAAACCTTTTAACGTCGACCCCCAGCCATGGCCGGGAAGATGTTCTATTAATTTTATTCTTGTGCTCCTCTCTTCTCCTCCTCAGCCAGATCCACCACTTTACTAAATGATCCGTTCACCTGTTTTTTCTCATTTTGCCTGCAGCTGTTATCTGTTTCATGATTTAAGGCCTCAATTTGCTTTTATTTGTTACTGAATTCTGAATACTGAAAAAGTTAATGACCCCCTGGTTATGTACTGTTAAGCTTTTTCTGCAGACTTTGGTTGTAAGGTTGATACATTTCAAAGATGTATTGATTTTCGCAACCCAGGAATTCAACCAGACTGTTAATCTGTCCCAAGGGAACTTTGTTGGAGCAATTACTAGACCAGTTTTAAGCTTGATTCCATAAACCCGTTCTTTTATAACAGGATGTTGCTTTGGATGGCCGTAGCTAAGAGGAAAGAGTAGATGTTTGGCAATTGCAGGTTTGAGTTAGAGCCTAATTTTCCCTAATCAGAGGTAGAAGTATCCTTGGGCAGTGCACTAAACTTCTTTATCAGTATATAAATGAGTAAAAGTTTGCAAATCCAGATTTGTTGTTACAAAAAGTCTTTAGTATGGATTATTTTGGTTCGGTGCACAGTTAGCTATCCTTGAAATCTGTTGTATTGCAGATATATATAGAAAGTTAAATGTGCCTAACTAAAGTGTAGAACTACATAATGCTTCATGCAACTTTTCAAAATATACGGTAGTTTTTACATGAAGAAAGCCTTTTTATTTGACCCTTTACGACTAATACCAGAGTGGGGCTATTCTTCAGGCCTGGAGTATCACCCATCAGACAATTCACTAGAACAGCAGACCGAGAACAGACAACAGATGTATTCTCCTTACCGAGAATACATCAGAGCAGACTTGCCCGTTCTTGAGATTGACAGCTGTCCCAGCATGCACCATGGCAGCAGCAGCTTCCAGTGGAGCGCTCATAGAGCTCAGAGTATTAAGTTAAAAGTTAACTTTGCTGTTGCCATTGTTCTACAAAAGTACGTTTTTAGATAATCTAAGGCAAGAAAATTTAACTTTTTAGCTACTTTATATGGCCAAATTACTGATTTAGTGCATGATAAAACAAAACGTTTTGATGTTGAGAGGACCATAGCAACCAGCAGACCTCTGAGGTTGACCTCTGTGTGCTTCTTTTCTCCCATACTTTCCCATACTCTTGTCAAGAGTGTACTTGCAGAGAACATGAGTCCGTAGTCACCTTCTTGTGAATTGGCAAAGATGATATTGTGGCCCTGTTCATCTGAGCAGTGGTCAAAAGGCAGGCCTAAGCTAAATGATGCTCTGTAATTTTGTGCTCAAAGAGACATTATGTAAGTTTTTAGAAAGAAACATGGTTCGTTTAATGCGCAGACTGACACCTCAGTAGCTCAGTAGCCTGAATCCTGTATCCTGTTTTCCCTGATTTACTTTGGGTCAGAAAAAACGGGGAAAAAAACGTACGTGCAAGCGACAAAAACGAGTAAGAGAATGACGCAGCTCTCTATTTTGACCACAGGCATTATCATTAGAAGACTCTGTAATATTGTAGTATTGATGGTTTTATTAAACATGATTGGAAGAAATTCTGGTAACACTTAAGGATGTTTTCCCCTTTTTTGTAATACGCTGAGAAAATTCCCTCGCAAATTCATTTCCGTAAAATGTTGCACTGCCGCAAACGTGACAGAAGTAACAATGAGAGCGCCACTGCCGCCTACTGTAGTGGATGAGCAATTACACTTTATACTAGTACGGCCAAAAAAAAAAAGCCTGTTCCCCAGGGTCACACGTGCCCCCCCAGATTAACAGACTTCATTATGGATGATGATGGTTTCCTATTCTGAACATCCAGCGAGACAGATTAATGTTAAATTGACACTTAAATGCTTTTATTATTTCTACTTTTTAATAAATGCAGTGTGCTCCATATTTTGTTTGCTATCTAAGGAAAAAAAAAACATATATTATCATTAAAACTAACCCAATTCTCCTATTGTGACAAATATGTCCACCATTGTGCCCCTATTTGAAATTTTAGCTCAAATAAAAATGTCAGAGTTGGGTTTGAATGTTCATAAATATAAGAATGCAAATATGCATCAACTTAGAAAAAAATGTTTCGAAAAAGGATTAATTTTACGTATCTTTTATGTTTTAGGGGGCGCCCCAAGAAAACAGTGATATTTACTACAGTCTGATTAAATAATTTGGTAACTAAAACAAAAATATTCTTGACAGCGAAAGGAAAGATCATAAAATGTTCTGATCATGACCTTCTTTTTTTCTACAATTGTTAGAAACAATTGTTCCACTTATTTACTATTTACTACTACTAAAACTTATTTATTTAATTGATTGTGTAAATTAGGAGCCAACTGGAGGTGTGCAGTCTGTAAAAGTTTTTTTTTGGAGAACTCCACTTTTGTTGCTGCAAAGGAGCCTTCAGGTTATCCTCATCCTCCCAGCTATTGTCCACTGTTTGTGTCCTCTCCTCTGACAAACAGCAGTTTACAAGGACAGGGTCCTTTTGAAGTTCTCTGCAGATGTCTCTCCATCTGCTGCTCACTGTTGCTGCTATTGTTGATGTGAGTTATCTGGGGTTACAGTAAGTGCACATTAGCAGCATCCTGGTTCATTATTTACCTGCTCTGGCCAGATAGAGAGAGAGCAGTTGCTCCTCCTGACACCAGTCAACACAGTGTCTGCCAATGTGTAATTATCCCGTCTTCTAGATGTCTATTCTCTTTCTAGTCTGTATTTATCTCTGCTTCATCATCTGTCTTTTTTATGCCTCATTCACTCTGAATGTTTTCCTCCATTTTTGATATTGAAGTATAAATATTCTGATTTAGTTTTATTGTGAGCTCAAAACAGAAAATGCTGTTTAAAATGCAAGAAGGTAGACTTTCAAAACACATCTTCGGTGTGTTTCCTGTTTCACAGCTCTAACTGTTTCCCCTGCTTTGTCCTCTTTAGGGTACAATTTATGTCTTAGAGAGCTGTGAGGTGATGCGCTAATTGCCTCAGCACCTATAGAAGGATACACAGAATAGCGCCTCAGACAAAATTCTTAATGGGATTTCAAGGCAGAAAAGTAAGGCTGGCTAAATGTTTTACTGGTGCATTATTTTATTACTTACTTGTAGCCCTTAAAAATGTGTGTTTGCAGAGTGAAGATGGTAAGTAGATTACAGACGAAGACAAGAAACCTTAAAGTGGATATAGAGTCACAACTGAGGCATTCACCTTCTCAAATCCAAGTCAGTGCCATCTTTAATTTATTGCTTTATTTTATTTACCAGCGAGTCAGTGCAGGTCACTGAGCATCTTTCTGTCCATTTCTCTTGTCTGTCAGAGTGAAACTCATGTCTTATTTTCTTTTCTGAATGTATTTCGTTGCTCAATCACTTTCTGTTAGGGTGCTCGCTTTGTCTGGACCTTGGTTTCTAGAATCGCACACTAGTAGACAGCAAACTTGCTATAATTAATCGGTAATTTATCCATCCATCCATCCATCCATCCATCCATCCATCCATCCATCCAT